CCTCCTAACAATGTTATCTCAGGAGATTCATCGAAACCAAGTTTCTCTTCGTAGCTGGAGATATGTATTAAGTCTAATCTTTTGGTAAAGCTATGTGGCATTTACACCCGAAAAAAAATCAGCTTACGTGAATTAATTATCAATCTAGAATAGTGAAGAGACATAGTTACATTGTTCAAAGTTGTCAAGACCTTCCATGGTCTGATCTTTAGCAAAGTTTCTTATTTCAATAAAAGACTTGATATGTAGCATAACTTTAATCTGAATTATAACCTGAATAGTTAGAGGCAAAGACAGGAGCTTCTAGCATGATTTGCACAATAGTTTGATATAAGGATGATACTATGTCATTAATATTACGCTATGGTGTATAATTCTTAGAGGAGATATTGGGTCTCTAAACTGAGAACAAAAACAGGAGAGATTTTGGGCTAAATCGCAATTACACGTAGTTATACGTAATAGGCCCGTCAAGGGCTCTACTTAAGGCAAGAAACTCTGCCATGCCAATATTAGGCCAATAATTAAAATGTAAATGTAAAATAATGGTGGAAGTTTGAAAACAAGTTTCGCATGAAGAAAGTCGCAGCAGGCCATTTTCTTGATATATCAGATTGAGTACAGGCTTAAGGAGTGGTGAAGACGATTACAATTATACATAGTAAGTGGATTGCTTTATTTTGATCCATATTATTTTGGCCTAATTACCTTACTTGGCAGACATCAGCGAACATCATTTCCCCTAGACTTAAATATACTTTGAGTATATTTAAGTAGGATTACCCTACCAATGCTTTATTATGCATAACTGAAGCAAAAACATTGTATATCGGAACCGATGACATTTTTGCTCATAGTATTCGAATAAGGAAATATAATCAGGCCAATAGAAATGGAAGAAAGAATCTCCTTACTTCTGATTGGATAATATAACGTATTTACCGATGAAAAGAGGATTGGCAAAAAGTGTGCTTTATCTTAAATCTTTCAGGAATCCATAATTCATATAGATACCATGCATAATACTGCTTACTCATTTCAGGATGTAAGTTGTTTTCACGGATTAGCTGTTCAACTTCGGCTATCTTTGCAGAACTCATCTGATATTTATTGTTATTGAAAGCAAAGTGTTTCACTTTCGTTCGTATTCTCGGTTTGCAAGATGACATCTCCTGCGAACAACGTAAAGCGCTTATCTCAAACCAAAAAGAAACCCCTTCATGTTGGAAGCCAACCAAATCGTCTTTCTGAAGCAGGTCTCTCGTTGAACTGCCCTTTTTCTAACTTAATATTGCCAGAACAAGATGAATTCGAGGTTTTCCAAAAACAGTCATATCGGCCAACAAGTCCAATTTTTGGTATTCTTTCAAGGCAGCAGGCTCGGGGCCAGTTCTTTTCCGAATCGACAGGACTGCCAGTTAAAAATAATGAGATATCAGAATCCTCAAATTTGGTGGAATGTAAATGTGGTCAAGATCGAGGTAGAGAATATTGTAATGAATGGGAACACATTCATGGACTTGAAGGGAAGGCTCACCATCGGCATCAATCAGTACAGCAACGCTATTCTACTTCACAGGAGCCTCAACTACGCAGGAATTCATTGAATCGAAAGCGTAGCGTACCAGCCAGGCTAGTGCATACAAATAATGCCATCTTACAAGTAGGACCCGGTCATAAAAACACTCTAGGTCTCATCTTCACTAACTCCTCACACTGTGGACCTGCAGTTTCCCCACAAACGCCAACGCTGGGTAGTG